CCCCCAACTCCAGAGAAAACCACGGTCGACCGCCACGGTCGACCGCCAAAGGTCCAGACGCACAGTGAGCCCTGTGCACGAACACGGTCGACCGCCAAAACCTTGCGGTCGACTGCCAACCTGTCAAAACGCTATCCTGAGCCCATCAACTGCCAATCCTACACTTTTCTCTAGTCAGTGTTATTCTTTTAACGAAACCATGTGTGAGTATGGTGCCACTTTAGAAATATATTTATGTGATTATTTGTACTAGGTTCTTTACATGACACGAACGAAAATGATATTATTACGTATGAAGAAAACGCGTCTCAATTGACTCTATCATGGGATTTTGTAAAGGAGCCATGGGTTTACATGCTGCATTGACATATTAAATGCGCATGGTGTGGGAGAGAAAGTTAACTATATATGAACATTTGAATCAGTGTACTCATAGTCAAATCCTCTCGTTTTGCATTGATCACAAACTGTCTAATATATATGGTGCACTTGATGGTTTCTGGTCTTGATAAATTGGTAACCATGTATGAATTTTGGAGTTGAAAATTCCAAATAGAAGTGAGCAAGTTTTCTTGATGGGTTGTATGTTAGTGAGGGTGATGTGAAAAAAACATTGAAATTTGTTGAAATAGTAATATGTTTAGGGGCTTATGTGTAAGTTGTAGGGGCCTATATAAGCCCATCTTATCTCATGAATAATATTAGGGTTTCCTCTCTATTTTCAATATGGTATCAGAGCTAAGCCGCCACCTTCCCTAACCCTAATCCTAACCCTAGCTGACACCACACCCATAGCCGTCCACCTCTGCTGCCTAACCCCGTTCACCTCCACGCCTGTTTCTCCACGACAGCCACCAACCCGCTAACCCCAGCCACCGACGACCAGCAACCTCGAATCCCCGCTGCACCCTACCCCGCGCCGCGTCAGAACACGCCGAAACCGCTGCCTGGCACCAACGGACCACCCCAACATCTGCTGCATGTCCCAATCGAACCGCCCACTCTGCTGGGGCCTCCTGCGACCCCCCCCAAACCGAACCAGCTGCTGGGTTTCCAACCGAACCCCGCCACCTCCTACAGACTCTCCAAACCGCCCTCAGAAAATTGATCTACTCCTCCAAGCGAACCTCAGCTTGCCCCCCCCTTCCACGATCAGTCCATCCCCCCCCTCCACGATCAGGACCTCACCGAGAAACCCCCACACCTAGCCGATCCCGCCCTTGTTCGAACCCCTCAGTCCCGTTGCTCGTGCACCATGTCGGACCTAGAGTTTGGCATTGGTTCCCTCGACTCAGTCCTCGAACTGATGACAGGAAGAGTATATATCTCACAGCGATGAGATATATAACTGTTTTTGGTTCTTGTTTCCTCTGAGAAACGAGAATTTGTTGCGATCCTACTCTTGTTGTGCAGCAGATGTGCTAGTTGAGGAGGACATATGACGGAGTCGGGAATAACCTGAGGGTATTCCAGATTAAAGGAGAGATCGATGCCACAGTCCAGGGAGAGAGGACTGTACAGGAATATGCTACAGAGTTGGAGCGCCTGTGGCTGGATTATGATCATTTTTTCCCCCGGGCTAGCTGCAAGGATCCGGGATGTAAAGAGCGGGAGGCCTTTCTACAGGAAAGGTCTATGGTGTTTCTCAAGGGATTGACATCAGAGTTCGCTCAGCGAATCGCATTGCTACTAGCTCAGCCGAAGATTCCCACACTTGAGGAGGCTGTCTCTGCTATGATCCAGGAGGAGACTCGCATTCGGCTGCAGGCAGGGACAGGTGGACTTCCTGTGGTGAAGTCAGCAATGGCAGCCTCTAGCAACACTGGATCTAGGGGAGAGACTCGACAGTGCTACAACTGCGGCACGGTGGGTCATCTAAGGCATGCTTGCACCAAGCCACCCAAGGAAGGAGATTCGGGTGGACGTGTACAGTTCGGAGGTCGTGGTCGTGGCCGTGGGGGTCGACGAGGTGAAAGAGGAGCAGGGAATCGGGCGAATATGATGGTAGCAGAGGAAGGGGAAGCAACTGAGATGGTCTTTACTGAGGAGGACCATATGCTCCTGGAGATTCTTCGGAAGAAGCAGAGAGTAGCAGGAGATGGAGACAGAAGAAGTGGAACTGAGGAGACATCCAAAGGCAACTCTGCTACTTATGCTCATCCGACCAAAGGTACGGATGACATACATGCTCTTGCTTCTATGTCTCCCAATAGACCATCAGAATGGATTGTCGACTCCGGTGCATCTCGACATGTGACGGGCAACGCTAGTGAGTTCTCGTCATACACTCACCTAGCATCAGCAGATAGCATCCAAACAGCTGATGGTACATTTCAGCCTGTGGTTGGTAAGTGTACTGTTAATTGTACAGGTTCTGTAACTCTGTCCAATGTTTTGCATGCTCCTTCCTTTCCAGTAAATCTTTTGTCCATTAGTGCTATTATCCTCCAACTAAAATGTATCGTTTCTTTTGATATTCCCAAGGTGATCTTCCAGGAGAAAGGGACAGGACGGAGACTTGGGACTGGCACGTGGAGTAATGGACTGTGGTACTTGGATCGTGAGGGACTGGACTCAGCTTTGGTGTCAATGGTAGAGAAAGCAGGAGTAGGATCTGAAATGAGTGCCGAGAGTGAATTGATGCTTCATCACCAGCGCTTGGGACACTCATCCTTTGGTACTTTAAGTAGATTGGCTGGTCGACGTAGTTTGGATATGGCCATTGGTTCACCTCAGGTGGAGGTGTTTGGTTCGTTACACATTGGGACAATTTGGAGTTATATCAACCACAGATTTGTTGGTGAAGAGTTGAGAACTCTTCTATTTGATTGAGGGCCTTTAGAGGCCGTTGGGTGAACTACGTGAAGGCTACGTTACTCAGACACGACGGTTTGACCGTCGTACCGGCGTCGATACGACCCGACACCGATCCGGGTACGAAATACGGGTCGGATACGGTGGTTGGCACTCGGATACGGCAAGCTTCGAGGGAGGAGTCAACGAGCTTCGAGGGAGGAGTCCACGAGCTTCGAGGGAGGAGTCGACGACAAGCTTCGAGGGGAGAAGAGCTTCGCAGGAGAACAGTAACAACCCGAGCCCTAGCATCAAGTTGGAGTGAGATCTGGAGGAGGAGAGAGGAAGGAGAGAGGAAGGAGGGAGCCGATCTCTTGGATCTGGAGGAGAGAGGAAGGAGGGAGGAAGGAGGGAGCCGATCTCTTGGATCTGAAGGAGGCGGCGGTAAATGGGGAAAATGGGGAACCCTAGCCATAAGGGGAAAATGGGGGAACCTTAGCCCTAGAACTTATTTATATGGGTAGCCTGGCCCTTTGTAAATAAAAAATTGTATACTTGTAATATGTTGTATGAGTAGCATTTGTATGGGTAAGGATAACATTTGTAAATAAAAAATTTGTAATATTTACCTTGTAATATTTATATGGGTAGCATTTGTAAATAAAAATTTGGGATAGGATTGTAATATTTTGTATACTTGTAATATTTACCTTCCATTTCAACAATATACTTGTAATATTTTGAGGAATGCTTGTAATATTTTTTTTATTGTCGTATCCCCGTACCCGTGTCGAAATTTAGGACGGTGTCCCCGTATCCAAAATTTTCAGAAATTTTGTATCGGACACTCGGATCCGCACCCGTATCGGATACTCGTACCCGAGTCCATGTAACATAGGATACAAGTATTTTGTTACATTCATTGATTGCTTCTCTCGCGTTACTTGGTTATACCTGATGAAGAATAAGAGTGAAGTGTTTGGCTGCTTTCAAAACTTTCATAGGAATGTTCAGACCCAATATGGAGCAGTGGTGAAGGTATTGAGATCTGATAATAGGATAGAGTACACCAACAGAATGTTTGGAGAATACTTGTCATCTCAGGGAATACAACACCAGACTACGTGTCCATACACACCAGCTCAGAATGGGGTAGCAGAAAGGAAGAACAGACATCTCTTAGAGGTTGCTAGAAGTATGATGATCTCCATGAATGTCCCAGAAACATTGTGGGGGCAAGCAGTGTTGACTGCAGCGGCGCTGATCAACAGAATGCCCTCGAGAGTACTGGATTGGAAGTCTCCGTGTGAGACATTGAAAGGAGATAATGGTGGGATTCTTCCACTGAAGGTATTTGGCTGTGTGTGTTTTGTGAAGGATAACAGACCATCCGTCGGGAAGCTTGCCCCTAGAGCGGTGAAGTGTATTTTTGTGGGATATTCTGCTACTCAAAAGGGATATGTTTGCTGGAGCCCGGTGGAGAAAAGGCTGTTCGTAAGCATGGATGTGTACTTTCGTGAATTTGAGCCATATTACACACAGAAGGCACCCTCATCCGTTGGTGACTCGCCCAATACTGGAAGTATGAGGCGAGAAGGGGAGAATGGTGAGAGGCAGATGAATAATGTAGAGAATAATATAGAGAAATCGATTTCTCTAACGATTCCTTGGGAAGGAGAATTGGTTGAGGAGGAGCAGGAGAATAAAGAAGAAGAAGATAAGGAGACAAGAGGTGTTAGGCCCACGGCTCAGGGGGAGCTACTTACCTATAGTAGGAAGGGGAAGCAACTTGCGGAAACAGTACCTACAGTGCCACTACATTTGGGAGCTAGTAAAACTACCAGAATGAAAGAGAGCAGTTGGATGTAAGTGGGTCTTCACTGTGAAGCAGAATCCAGATGGACAAGTTGAGCGCTACAAGGCTCGTCTGGTGGCAAAAGGGTATAGTCAGACATATGGCATCGATTATGATGAGACTTTTGCACCGGTGGCGAAGATGAGCACTGTTCGGACCTTAATCTCTCTGGCAATAAATGGTGGATGGAAGTTACACCAACTAGATGTGAAGAATGCATTTCTTCATGGAGATCTAGTGGAGGAGGTATATATGGAGATACCACCAGGATTTGGTACAGATCAGACAGTGGGAAAGGTCTGTAGATTGAAGAAGTCTCTCTATGGGCTGAAGCAGTCTCCTCGTGCTTGGTTTGACAGATTCAGAAGGGCTATGATTGGTATGGGGTACCAGCAGATCAACGCCGATCATACCGTATTCTTTCGACGAAGTGGAGGCCACATTACCATGCTGGCGGTATATGTGGATGATATGATTATTACAGGAGATGATGAGAAGGAGATTGCCCAACTCAAAGTAAGACTGGGTAAGGAATTCGAGGTGAAAGATCTTGGCTTGCTTCGATACTTTCTTGGAATAGAGATAGCTCGAGGAGCGGAGGGAATCGTCCTATCCCAGAGAAAGTATGCACTGGATCTTCTCAAAGAGACAGGGATGTTAGGGTGCAAACCTGCAACTACACCGATCGACCAGAAGTTCAAACTAGGTGCTGAGGCCGGAGAACCAGTTGATCGTGACAGATACCAGAGGCTGGTGGGAAGATTGATCTATTTGAGTCACACACGTCCTGATATCTCTTTTGCAGTGAGCGTGGTGAGTCGCTACATGCACGATCCGAGGAAGGGTCATATGGACGCTGTGTACCAGATTCTGAGATATTTAAAGAGTGCCCCCGGGAAGGGACTGATATTCAGGAAGAATGGACATGTGAACATCGAGGGTTATTGCGACTCTGATTGGGCTAGCTGTGCTGATGACAGGAGATCCACCTCAGGATATTGTATCTTTGTAGGAGGTAACTTGGTCTCGTGGAAGAGCAAGAAGCAATCGGTGGTAGCGAGATCAACAGCTGAAGCAGAATATAGAGCCATGGCCTTAGGAGTTACAGAGTTATTGTGGTTAAAGAGTATGTTGGGGGAGCTGAAGCTGGATCAAGGAGCCAAGATGAAGCTGTGGTGTGATAACAAGTCAGCCATCAGTATCGCCAACAACCCAGTGCAGCATGATAGAACCAAACACATCGAGATCGATAGGTTCTTCATCAAAGAGAAGTTGGACAATGGACTACTGGAGTTAAGTCATGTTCCAACTAAGGATCAGGCAGCAGATTGTCTGACTAAGGGGCTTAGCTCAGTAGATATGATTAGAGGATGTGACAAGATGGGCTTAGTGGATATCTTTCGCCCATCTTGAGGAGGAGTGTTGAAATAGTAATATGTTTAGGGGCTTATGTGTAAGTTGTAGGGGCCTATATAAGCCCATCTTATCTCATGAATAATATTAGGGTTTCCTCTCTATTTTCAATAAAATTTAATTGCATAATAACTCATAGAGTTTGTAGTTTAATACAAGAGATTTGTGGCTGCCGCCGAGGTTAAATAAGTTAATCTTGTAGGTTTATTAATATACAATCAAGCCTCATTGGTTAGGTTCAAACTCACACGGGGTCCATTAAGGAGCTTAACTCGACCCAAAATACCCTCAGTTCGGGTCCATTAAGGAGCATAACTCAACCCAAGATATCCTTAATTCATAAGAGCATCTAAACAACGTACAGTTAGATCTTTGTCCCAGCTTTGGAGTTTTTTAAAAAAATGGCTGCGACATGCACATAACAACCTATTTGAAGAAGCACCCACATAGGAGTTTATAGTAATATCCACTACTTTAGAATGGAATTTTTTCTACTATTTCTCCATCATGCTTAACTATGAAAATTTTCTTAAGTTTTTGTCTATAAGCTGGTACCTGCAAATTATTTTTTAGCCTTTTGCACCTCTCTGACACACATTTAATTTGATTGAGGGTTGTTAGATATGTAACTCCCATCTTCTTCGACTAAACATCCTAATAATAAAGGGGTGTGTGTGGTATATAATAGTTTTCTTGAACTCAAGAATTACTTATCCAGTCAATACAGAGTAGAGAGTAACTATGGGGATAATGTTTTATAACTTAGCTGCATCTAAAAAATTGTTTGTTTCGTCTTTTTATTCTTTTCATGCTGTTTCTCTATTTTTTTGTCTTTATTTTCCCTTTTTATGGATCATTTCTTTTTTATTTTTATTGTATTGGGGCTTTGGTGGGGCGGTGGAGCATCATAGGATATATTTTTTTTCGGTGTGGAAATTAATTTGTGCCATTTAATTTAATTTTTAGCTCTAGTGTTTGGTTTTCTATTCTTTCAGTTCATCCTTCTATCAGCCTGTACTGTTTATATAAGTTGTTTATTCAATGGCATCTTTTTCCATAGTAGATTTCTCTTATTAGATGAATATTTGTTTCTGTTGTTTTATGTGGTCTGAAGATTGATGAGCATAAGATTAGAAAACACATGTTACTGGAGACTTAGGCTTTCCCGTATATCTTATGAAGACATAATATTAATTATACTACCTGCATTCAAAAATAAATCCAATAGGGAAAATAATCATCTAATTCTACAAATTACAGTATAACCTCTTCAAGGAAGAATTCAATTTTTAATGTTTGTTTTACATGACGCCTTTCAATTTGTATGGGAAGTTATTACTCTTTTGTCTTTTGTAAGCTTGCTTCTATTAGAAAACTCTTATTCCTTGGGCCTAATCATATCCTTGCTTATTCAAGCACCAAATGATAAACAAGACCCCTGAGAAAGGTAGTTTTCTTGTCATATTGAAACCTATATTCATGTAGTGTCTCATTGCATTATATGGTTATTGTGCGGCTGTTTGTTGATATTTTATTGTCACGCGTACTGGTAATCTTTGTTATGACAAATTAGATGTATAGAGACTGGTCTTCCACATGCTAATATTATACACAAATTATTTTTTTGTTCTTGCTTACTACAGTATATTATTTATACTGGTCACACCTTTTATTGACTCTACAAGTCATTTTTAGAGGAAAATGTGATTTTGTGATACATATATTACTGTGCATTTCCATCATAGTTTACAAGTAGTAGTCCTCTCTATTTTTCTTTATTCAAGCATAATGTTTCATGTGAGTTATTTCTCGGACTGTCAGACCTCACATGTTAATTTACCTTTCAGAGCAAGCATCTGACAAAGGAGAATTTGCGAAACTCTGCAGGAGAGTTGAATATACTGTTCGGGCTTGGTACAATCTGCAGTTTGAGGATCTAATGGTATAGATTCTCCTTTCCTTTTCAATATATATAAATATGCTTAACTGTGTGCATGTCTTTTTATTTTTCCACATTAACCTCTAATAAACCAACTATACAGCTATTGCCACTGTTATGTTATCACTGGATCTTTATATCTATTTTGACAAGAATAGTTATTTTTTCCAGCATATGTACACTCTGTTTGATCCCATTCATGGAGCTCAAAAGTTGAAACAATATAATTTGCCACCAGATGAGATAGATGCTCTTGAACAGGATTTTTTGACATGTCTCTTTGAGGTCGGTAAGTTGTTCATGTGTTTTATTTTATATCTAAAGACGATAATTTTTATTTCCAACATTCTATTTCTAATTGTTATCTTGCAAGTCCTCTTGTGACGTGGCTTCAGCAACTTACATCTCTGAAGATTCTCAATCCAGCCTTACTGAGTGCTAGTTCAGTAATTCATGAAGGAAACACAAAATCTTTTCTCAGATAAACAATTTTCATTCTCTTGTATATAGGGAATCAATTGCTGATGTGGGAGTTTGTGTTTGTGTGTAAATAGATAGGGAACTTGGTAAGTTAACTACTTGGCGAAGTATTATGAGGGAATTAATAGACTTTGAGACTGAACATAATTGCTCCTCGCTCAGTACTTCTTTATGGGTCTAGGTGTGCACATTTTAATGAAAGGCCTTAATCAAGTATATATTACTTTAACGCTTCCCTCAAGATGGAGCATACATATCATACCTTGCTTGTACAAGCAAAGTGAATGGAGCATACATATCATACCTTGCTTGTACAAGCAAAGTGAATTGGAAACTTCCAAGCGGCTTAGTGTTGGGGAATGGGCGGAGGGCTCCGATTTGGAGGGGAGAGACCTTCGACGGTTTGGCAGAATGATGCTGTAATCCACGATGAGCAGTATTCATTGTAATACTTGATGCTATTTACCCTCGAACAGTAAACCCATTTTGGGGGTATTTAAGTGTTTTTTCTCTTTTGGTTTTCCTTGATGAGGGATTCTTTTGAAGAGATTGATTGAGAAGGATAATAAAGGAGAAAGATGCTTTAGATAATAACTAGGCTTCACATCTTGAGGTCTCATACCTGAGGGCTTCACCACCCAAAGTGTCAAATCATATGCCTAAGAGACACCACACACGCTTAAGAGAGAATTCTCATAACTCGAACCAAATCAAGGAAAACCAAAAGAGAAAAAACACTGCCTAGTTTGTCACTGTACTTGAGTGGGATACAACACTTTATTATTTTTCTTTGTCGTGATATAAGATTACTCAACCAAATAAATGATAGAATCTAACAGATCTCCAGTCAACTAGTGATCCTGCCTAATTTGAATCAGAAAAGATAACTATATATGATTGTGGCTAAAATTGAAATTTTATAAGTTTCGATAAGTCTTAGTATCTAAAATGCTAATATGATTTATTTGTTGTCAGCCGCAATTGCTGACAACAGCAATTGTGGACAAACAAGGTGGCGGGACCCACAAAAAAATGCACCAAAAAGTGGGCACCAAAAGGTTGGCACAGTAAAAGAAAAAATATTATAAAATTAGGAATAGTTTTTTCCCAGCCGCTATAAACAAGCCCAAAACTCTTCAGGAAAAATTCATCCCAGAAACAACTCCACATATAGAAGAGTGAGAGAGAAAAATAGAGACTTTCTCATTGTAAAGAGAGATTATAACTCCAAAGTTTTTTTCATAGTAGATTCTTCTATTTTTACCCGTGATTTTTACCACAAATTTATTTAGGGGGTTTTTCATGCAAATTTGTGTGTTCTTTTTATCTCTACTATTTGCTAAGACTCTGCTCTATTGGGCGCTGGGTTTGTCCTAACAAGTGGTATCAGAGCCTGGCTTCTGGTACATGTATTTACTTAGCGTATGCTCTGTGGCTGCCACTAAATGTGGATCCTTTACATTAGAAGGTACATGTATTTACTTAGCGTATGCTCTGTGGCTGCCACTAAATGTGGATCCTTTACATTAGAAAATAAGTTAGATTATTATTTACCCTTTGAAGGTGATAGTACTATTCACGAGTATGGTACTGTTCATAAATATGATACTATTCACAAGTAAAGTACGGATGTGATTATTGTTCATAAATACAGTTAATGTTTATGTGAAATAGTAAGAAGCTACTGTTCGTTGTAGAGGCAATGATGGTGAAGTTCGAGATCGAGAAATTCAACGGGAGTAATTTCTTACTGTAAAAGTTAAAGATAAAAGGCTATCTTGAGAAAAGATAATTACTTAGCGGTTATCAGTGCAAGGCCAAATAACATCACAGATGATAAGAAGTGAAACGAGATGGACGGAAATACTATTGCAAATCTCCTTCTGGCATTAGCAGATGGGGAGCTATCAAGCAAAGAAGAGAAGAAGACAGCAAAGGAGATCTGGGATACTCTAACAAAGCTGTACGAGGCTAAATCCCTGCACAATAAAATCTTCTTAAAAAGAAGACTTTACACTCTAAGGATGACGGAATCTACATCAATGACCGACCACATCAACACCCTAAACACACTGTTCTCCTAACTTACAACGTTGGGGCATATGTAATCGGTGTGAATGAACGTGCAGAGCTTCTACTTCAGAGTCTACCTGACTCGTATGATCAGCTCATCATCAATCTTACAAACAACATCCTTACGAACAATCTAGTCTTTGATAACGTTGCAGTCGCTATTCTGGAGGAAGAAAGTTGGCGCAAAAATAAGGAAGACAGACAGACAAGTTCACAACAAGCAGAGACCTTATCGTTAACGAGAGGAAGATCAACAAAACGTGGCTCCAGTGTGAGTCATACCCATTGTCGATCAAAATTAAGAAGTAAGAAGAATATTAAATGCTACAACTGTGACAAAAGGGGGCACGTAAAATTAGAGTGTTGACACAATAAGAAGAGTGGTGATAAAAAATCTTCAGAGCCATCAACATCTCAAGGATATGTTGTCAACACATCGGATGATGGTAAAATTTTATACAGTACGGCAACCACTATTGATGAAGGCAGAAAGAGGTTTGCTGATATCTGGCTTCTAGATTCAGCAACCTCCTGACACATGACCTCCCAAAAAGAATGGTTCCATAAATATGAACTTATCTCAGGAGGATCTGTATTCATGGGCAATGATTATGCCTTGAAGATTTTTTGTATTGACATTATCAAAATCAAAATGTTTGATGGTACAATACGCACCATTCAAGATGTGCGACATGAGAAGGGATTGAAGAAGAATCTATTGTTTTTAGGATAATTAGATGAGTTCGGATGCAAGATCCATATAGAAAAAGAAATCATGAAGATTATTAGATGGGCGCTTATTGTGATAAAAGAAAAAAAGATAGCTGTAAATCTATACATGCTCAGGGGAAACTCTACAGGAAGCTGGTTCATATGTGGCATCAACCAGTCATGGAGAAGAATAAACCATGATGTGGCATCGCAAAATAGGCCACATTTCAGAATAAGGCTTGAAGATTCTCTCCGATCAGAAGCTGATTCCTGGATTTAATTTAGTAGTTCTTCCATTTTACGAGCATTGTGTTACAAGTAAGCAGCATCGGCTGAAGTTCAGCACATCAAGTTCTAGAAGCAATACTATTCTGAAACTAGTTCATTCTGATGTAGGGTAAGCACCAGTTATATTCATGGAAAGAGTAAAATATTTTGTGTCATTTATTAATAATTACTCCAGGAGATGTTGGGTGTATCCTATCAAGAAGAAAGCAGATGTGTTCTCAATCTTTAAAACCTACAAAGCGCGAGTCAAGCTTGAATATGAAAAGAAGATAAAGTGCTTGAGGTCAAATAATAGAGGAGAATACACAGACGATGAATTTTTTATATTTTGCTAGCAAGAAGGTATCAAAGATAATTCAATACTGCTTATACTCCTCAATAAAATAGAGGCAAAGCGGATGAACATAACTCTATTAGAAAGAACAAGAGCAATGTTGGCAACTGTAAATTTAGATAAAGTCTTTTGAACAGAAACAGTAAAAACCGTATGTTATGTGGTGAATCAATCTCATCAACCGCAATACAATTAAAGATACCGATGGAGATATGGATCGGCAAGCCAACTGATTATTCCAACATTCATGTATTTGGAAGTCCAGTGTACGTAATATACAATGCCTAAGAAATTACAAAGCTATATCCAAAATCCAGAAAATGCATATTCTTAGGATATGTTGACGGAGTTAAGGGATATCGCTTGTGGGATCCCACTACCCGCAAGGTTATTGTCAACAGAGATATTATCTTTGTAGAGAACCAACTGTAAAGTGAAGAAAAAGAAAGTAGTTTAAAGAATGACTCAGAGATTGTAGCTGTTCAATTAGAAAATGATCCAAATTCTTCTGAAGTAACATCGGAGCATGATGTACAAGAACCAATCGAATCCGAGGTTCCAGAAGTTCGAAGGTTAACTCATGAGAAAAGACCACCGGCTTGACACTCGGAGTATATTACGGAGAGTAATATTGTATACTGTCTTCTAACAGAGGATGGAGAGCCATTAACTTTTTATGAAGCTATAAACAGCACAAATGTATCTTTATGGATGACAATAATGCAGGAAGAAATTGAAGTTCTTTATAAGAATAAGACTTGGATACTTGTGTCACTACCACAAGGAAGAAAGACCATTAAAAATAAATGGATCAATAAGATCAAGCGAAATGGCGATGATCAAGTGGAGCGATATGTGCGAGATTGATGGTACAAGAATATGCTAAAAAAGAATGTATTGACTTTAATAAAATATTTTCTCCTGTAGTTCGACTTACAACGGTCAGAATAGTCCTGACTATGAATGCTATATTTGACTTACATCTAGAACAACTAGATATGAAAACAACATTTCTTCATAGAGATATTGAATAATAAATTTACATGCTTCAACCAGAAGGTTTTGAAGAAAAGGGAAAAGAGAACTTGGTTTACAGATTGAATAAATCTCTGTACGGTCTAAAGCAGGCGTCGAGGTATTGGTACAAGAGATTTGATTCATTCATCATGAGTTTTGGATACAACAGACTTAATTCAGATCCTTGTGCATTTTTTAAGAGGTTTGGTAAAAATAACTTTGTTATCTTATTATTGTATGTTGATGACATGTTGGTTGTAGACCCCAACAAAGATCATATCAAAGAGTTAAATGCACAGTTGGCTAGGAAATTTGAAATAAAGGACTTAAGATCTACAAACAAGATTCTAGGGATGCAAATTTACTGAGAAAAAAATTAATAGGAAGATTTGGATTTCTCGGAAGAATTATTTAAAGAAAATCTTACGACGTTTTAACATGCAAGATTGTAAGTTAATTTCTACACCTACTTCCTATTAATTTCAAGTTATCGTCCAGTATGAGTCCTAGCAGTGAAGAAGAGAGGATGAAGATGTCTCGAGTATCGTATGCATCAACAGTGGAAAATTTAATGTTCGCTAAGATTTGTACAAGATCGGATATTGTACAAGTAGTGGGAGTGGTTAGTCGATACATGGTGAATCCTGATAAAGAGCATTAGAATATTGTAAAGAGGGTCCTAAGATACATTAAGGGAACCTCAAATGTTGTATTATATTATGCGGAATCAGTTTTTATTGTCAATGAATATGTTAATTCTGATTATGTAGGTGATCGTGCTAATAGCAAATCCACCACAGACTATATGTTTACACTTGCTGGCGGAGCTGTAAGCTGGGTCTCAAAACTGCAGTCAGTTGTGGCTACTTCAACAACAGAAGTAGAATATATAGCAACTACGCAAGCTAGTAAAGAAGCGATGTGGTTGAAGATGGTGCTGGAGGAACTCAGGCATGAACAAAAGAAGATTTCTTTATTTTGTGACAGTCAGAGTGCTTTGCATTTAGCAAGAAATTTAACTTTTCATTCAAAGACAAAACACGTTCGAGTTCAGTACCACTTCGTTCGTGAGAAAGTGAAAGAAGGAACGGTGTATATGCAGAAAAATCACACCAAAGACAACCTAGCAGACTTTTTGATAAAAATAGTTAATACTGATAAATTTATTTGGTGTCGATTTTCTTGTGATCTGTCAGAGACGTGAGCAACATGAAGATAACAAGATAGAAAAAATGATGTGAAGATATGATTGATACTCAATCAAATCTTCAAGTGGGAGATTGTAAGCCGTAATTGCTGACAGCAGCAATTGTGAACAAACAAGGTGGCGGCCCCATAAAAAATGCACGAAAAATCGAGCACCGAAAGGTTGGCACAATAAAAAATATTATAAAATTAGGAATAATGTTTTCCCAGCCGCTATAAATAGATCCAAATCTCTTCAGGAAAAAATTATTCCAGAAACAACTCCACGTATAGAAGAGTGAGAGAAAAAAATAGAGAGAGTTTCTGCTTGTAAAGATAGATTGTAACTCCAAAGTTTTTCCTTAGTGGATTTTTCTATTCTTGCCCGTGATTTTTACCCCAAATTCATTTAGGGGGTTTTCCACGTAAATCTGTGTGTTCTTTTTATCTCTACTATTTGCTGAGACTCTGCTCTATTGGGCGCCGGGTTTGTCCCAACACTTGTTGCAGTAACTGAAATGAAAACGAGATTGTACATGTACTTAGGATCTGACTCACTTCTGGCTTTCAAGGATAATTTCACTGGCAAACAACATTTAAGAATTTGGTAGCAGTGACCTAAAAACCAACCCAAAAATTTATATAGGTGGCATGAAGAGTTGCTCTTTTCTCTCTGTTTTTTCCATTAATTCTGCTGACAGATGCTAAATCTGAAGAAAATGTGCAATTTTTTTTTTGACTAACAGGGTCTGAGAATTGTTGATACATGTTAGCCTATATGTCTTTCTTTTCTTCATGCCTAAATAAAAAAAATGATATTCAATCCAAAAGTAATTCATGCTATCATTTGTTCAGATATGTGATTGATAAGTTCCAACTGCAAATTACAATCTAGGTAAGTTTGTACTCGAGTATTATTGTTTTGTTACTAAGAAAGGTGAAATTGTCATTTCTCTATTAAATTATAAAGGCTTTGCTTAACGCATTGAGTTATCTGTTGAGGTTATTTTCTGTAATGATTTTCTGTTTTTCTGTCTGAAGCATAATGATTGTCAGTTCACGCTATTCTTTAACTTAAACAGGTAATGGAAAAGAGCAACTTCAAAATAATCACTGATGAAGAGCTTGAAGTGGCAAAATCTGGGCAGTATCTCTTAAATTTTCCTGTCAAAGTGGATGAATCTAAGGTTTAAAATGATCAAATACATTTATACTTTATATGTTTTATGTTTGTTAAGTTTGAGTAGTTATCTTTCTTTGGAGAAATGCAGCTGGACAAAGACGTATTTCCAAGGTTTTTCAGAGATCATCCTCATGAAAACCTTCCAGCATTTTCTGACAAGGTACTACAGAGAAGTAGAAGTTTTACTAATAAAAAAGAACAATTTGATAGTCCTAATTTATGGCATTTCACTTCTATCTCTCTAGGAAATTAGGTTCAATTATCTATCAATTCCTCTATTCGTGGGAATTTTGTTTTTGGGATAGTTATTTGATCAGGCAGGCAATTAAATATGTGTTTAGATAATTGCCTAAGCTACTCCCAGTAGATAGTTTTATATTTATCTACTTATTAAAGAGTTTGCTTGCAGCGTTGCCTTTCTTTACGTTGCATAGGATGGTAGGCACAAGTCGAAATGTAGTTACTCTAACATTGTTATTTCTTCTGTACAACAGTTCATAATGTTTCGTCGAGGCATTGGAATTGATCACACAACAAACATTTTCTTTAAGGAGAAAATAAATACAATCATATTTCGTATCTGGATGGGCTTCTTGACAGTGACCTTGTAGGTTATTTTTACATTTGATTTATCTATTAACACTATTTGTTTTTGGAAAGAAAAGACCAGGTGTTGAATGATTATACTTTGCATATTGCAGTCTCAAAAGGCTGTTCTTCAAGAAGAAACCTAAAGGGTGCAAAATAGCTGATGAAGCAAGTTCTGTAGAGGATGAAGACTTACATGTTGAACGCATAAGGATTGAGAACATGAGACTAAGGTTCTGCAGTGATATGTTCCATTCAAACTCTTGCTTATCTTGGTTTGTCAAATTTTAATCTGCCTTTGCTCCTGCAAATTTTGTAGTATGAAAAATCTATTTGGCAAGGTCACCCTCCAAGAACCAACTTTTGAGAGAATTATCATCTTGTACAGGTAGAGCTTTTTATATTATCTTCCTCATAAAGAGGCTTTTGAGTAATGAATGAATGATGAAAAATTCTCGCAAAGAAATATATCTCATATGTTTATAAATTCTAATTATTTTAGGCTGTGTTTTATTAGGAAATTATTTTATATAGCCTCTCACGGTGTCCAGCATTGCTTTTTATTAGGCATTCTGCCAACAGAAAAATTCCAAGGAGAGCAATATTTATAAAGCACTTTAAAAATATACCTATGGCTGATATGGAGTTGGTTTTGGTATGTAAATTATTGAAAACAAATTTATTAAAGAAGCAACTTTCATATTCCTCACTTCTAGATTAAACTCAGAGACAAGATTTTCATTTGCAGCCTGAAAAGATCAACCCAAGCTTAACACCCATGGATTGGATCAAATTTCTGATCACTGCGGTGTTTGGTCTAGTAAGTGCAGAAAATTGTTGTGTCAATTCTATTTATGCACTGGTCATTTCTTCTCATCTTATGCCATAAATACTGATTTCAGGTTACTCTTATCAGTTCCATCAGCATCCTTAAAGTCGATATATGGGTAGTAGCACCTATACTTGTAGCTATAGTTGGCTATGCTCTCAAGGTTTACTTCTCGTAAGTGTTGTTTGTATACTTCAGATTATTAGATTTGGTTCAGTGGTGTTTTATTTCCCTTTTTGTGTGTTTGTGGGGGGTTTTGTTTTGTTTTTTTTTTTTTTTGGGGGGGGGGCTTTTTTT